TTGGTTAATTTTGTTACAATAATTATGAACAAGGCCCTTGGATGGAATATTACTTTCAAATCAGAAGTCTTATCAAATGTTGTTTATTATGTTACTTGTTTATTTGCATGCATGTTTTAGCTTTGCGTTTTCTTATTCTACAGTATGTTTCATGCATGCTTACCACTTCTTTAGGACAGAAGGAGTCTGAGTGAGGCTTGAAAACGTTTTCGGTTCGAGTTGTTTGGAATATGGCCTTAAGAGAAAGAAAATATATATATGGAAAGCTCATAACTCGCAATCCTGGATCAATTAGAAAATGAACCCCCAGACAATCATTGAAAAAGGCTACCCTCTGGATCTGCGTTTTGAAATCCAGCAAGGGAGCGGTCATTAGTTATCGCCGGGGTGGGACAGGATTTTATGTCACGAGATGATTCCCAGGCTCTGTAGTATTGCTGATGACCCCACCCCCTCTCTCACTGGCAGTCAACCTTTTATGGTCCTCCCTAACATACTCTGTTAGCGACGACTAATTTCTCCCCCTCCCCGTTCCCCCTGAAAAGAATTAAATTCCCAAACTCTTCCAACCCCCCACCCCAAGGTGATTAAACGCGACTGGTCCATAAGAGGTTTATTTATTTCTTTGATAACTCGTGTAGATAAGTCAAGCCTCTAAGGAAGACCTTTATTTGATTTATTAAAAAAAAAAGTCCTATGTTCTTCGTTAAAATAGCGCGTATGTAACTTCAAACTGCAAAGAATGTATAGTCTGTCATTTAGTAATAAATAATGGTAATAGGACCGAGTGGAGTCCAATTAGGTCTGTAGTCGTACGAGTGATTATCAAAATCGGACGAAGCGGTAGTCCGATTTGTCAATCACGAGTATGATTGCAAACAGAATTGGACGACACAAAGTCCAGTTACCAATTAATTAATCATAACCAATACAATTTCCGAAAAAAAAATACATTTAGGACAAACATCTCCTGTAGGGACGATGTCTAAAGCAAAAAATTTGGAAACTACCCAGTTTTCTTATCAGAAAAGTAAGTGGTTGTTACTATACTTATTGTGATCAATTCTGTGATTGGTGGATTTAGCTGAGTGGACTTAGCATGATTGGCTGCTTCAAATGTCCGATTACAGGTATCCGATAACAGCCAACTGTCCGATTACAACTGTACAGAGTGATTAGTGAAATATAAAGCAGCTGATGCACCAATCATATTTGAGCAAATTGTAATGGTAATGATTAAGGCTGAAATTCATACCTGTGAGAAATTGAGCGCCACCATATCGTTGGAATGGTTGACTGGATTTAGTAGGAGAGCTCCACTTTTAAACCAAAGACTCAGATAATTAAAGAACAGTTCTTTGTTTGTAAAGTTAGTGGCCTTGTTCACAAATCCTCTTGTTAGTTCCAAAATGTTTGTTAGATTCACTATGGATAGCTGAAAGTGAATGGAAAGAAGCCTTATATTAGTTCCAGTAAAATCAATTGTTTACCCGATGAACTTTAAGACAAACATGATTTATTAATTTCTATTCCAATTGAGTCAAGTATCGCGTTTCAAACAACCGCAGATTAGAATACATTGGAATCAAGCTACTACATACTTTATGCCTGAATTCTTGACGGAGAGATTTTTTTTCGCAAAAACAGCTTTCTTTGAAACTCCACTTGGTCATATCACCATACGGTGAAGAACAACGGTTCGTGAAATTTCCTGTGGTCAAATAAAAATAAACAAATGAAAAGCACGTTGCTGAGGCACAAACAATATTAATCCTATCTTGACACTCTAATGATGGTGATTCAAAGTCTTATTGAATGACAAGTACCACCAACAGCAAATGCTGTAAGCCTAC